TAATTGTCCAATAAAAATGCGAGTATAAAATAACTAATATTAATAAAATATATATAAAAATCTATATTATAACAATACGCAAGATAACTAGAGTCATATCATCTTTATTAATAAGATTATATTTGACCTTTTTCAAAATAAAATCTATTAATGATATAAAACTAAAATAAAATCTTTTTAGCAGTTACTTAAAATACATTAAAAGATTATAACATAAGATAAAATCTCACTTAGAGGAAATACCATTATTTTACTTTATCAAAATAATGAATGAATTATTTTATATTAATATCTTGCAAATCTAGCTTTTACCTATGGCATGAAATATGTATGGTAATAATTGATATTTGTAACAGGATAATGATCCAAAGTATACATTCAAGATAATGAAAAATTTTATCATAAAAAATAGGATTAAGATAATTAACTGGCTAGCAAATAATCCTGATCTTAATTCTATTGAAAACTTATAGCAAATAATTAAGAATAAAGTTAAGTGATGAATGCCACAAAATATTGAGCAATTGAAGCAATTTTTAATTGAAGAATGGGAAGTAATTCCTAATGAAACAGTAATTAATTTAGTATGATCAATAAAAAATAGATGTGAACTAGTAATAGAAGCAAATGGTGATAGAATTCCCTACTAAAAATTTTATGGTTAATAAAGAATCTTTTAGACTTTTTAACATATCAAATTTTATTTAAATATCTGTTATAGTTGCTCAGAAATGCAAAAATTTGTCATCACCATTTTTTTTATTACAGTGTATATTATTTATTAAACTACTACCAAATATATATTACCATTATATTAAACTAAGAAGATCTATATGGGTGGAACTCCAGAAAGACAGATTGTGATCGAAAGTTACATGATCTGTCATTTTTTTTCTGTTACTAGTATGATTATTTCTTACTAAGTACATAAATAAATATATTTACTTTTGCAAATACTTCTGTTATTTTTCCTATCATTAAATAAATAAAAGAATTACAAATCACTAATAACTTGATCAAATTTTTGAGCGAATAAAACTTGGATCTTGATGAAGAAGATTTTCAAGTTTTCTATAAGTAAAAAGTTAAGAGTTCAATCTTAATTCAGTCAAGTTAAGAGGATCTTGAAAGATGAAGAATGCCAGGTGGATCAGCAAAAGACATCATAGGCTTAATTAATAAAATCAAGAGTAAAGAATAGGATAAGTAGTATCATGTTATATTCAAATATTCTAAATCTATACTGCTTTCTCCACAATAATTTCATATAATATAGTATTTTTTTAACCACAATATCGATAATATTTTCTTTTTACTTAACATAATTAAATCCAGATAAATTTGAATTTGCTCTTCAATTTATACAAGAAAATCTCACTACTACTGATGAAGAAATAAAAAATATATATTAGTTATCACAAGGTAAGCAAGTAAGCAATGGGAGGATATTTAAAATTATTGTAACAGATGTTATGGTCATAATTTATTATATACTTTATCATTAGAAAGTTCTTTATATCCATTTTTATCTTGTTTATATATTCATTTTCTTATATCTTTTTATACTTAGGTCAGGGAAAGAAAATGGATATAGATTTAAGTAAGTTGATTAACTTTACAAATGAAGAAGAGAAAATCATTTGGAAAGTTTTTAATAGAGCTTTTCAAGATCCAAGTGATCTTTTAGAAAGATTCACTCTTTATTAATAAGTATTCACGTGAATACAAAATGATAAAAGACTATTATGTACTATATATAACCTTAATTCAAGCCAGTAGTACAGGAAAATTCAAATTATTAAAGAATTTTGCAGAAAACATAATAACCATATATTGCTATTTGTATGACTCCAAATCAAGTAGCTATTCATCCAGATCATATATTGCCAATATACTATTATATGAGTTTGAGAATGAACAAAATACCATAGTTATCTATCTTGCATACATATGCATATATTTTTAAAAGTTGCAGGAATTCAACAGGAGTTGTAAAGAATAGATTGATGAATATATCAACAAAAATTCTCAGGTGGATTTTTGAAAGAATGTTAAATGCAAAATAACTAATATCACATACGAGCTTATGAAAAATCCTATAGCTAGTGAGATGACTGAAGAGATCAATAAATACTTGTATGAAGAAAAAATAATAATATGAGAAGGTTCAGTTAAATATCTGTTTGTATTTGATAAAGCTCATACTATGATTAATAAAAAGGTTGAGAGGGAAATCCTGTTCTACTATATTTAATATACTTTAAAACTTCTACCCAAAAAGGTAAGAATTTTTGCAATCTTTACGGACACACACTCAAATATTTTGAACTTCTCACCTGTTTTCTATCTCAATCTGTCCAAAAGAGTTGCAGAAGAAGGATCTTGATTATTTAAGCCATTTTATTTGTTAGACATCATGGATATGAATACTAATTTTAAACAAGTACTGATATTGAAAGATTCTGAAGATCTGCAATATTTCTTTCAGTATAAAAGATCTTTGTGAGATATATTATTATTATCTTTTAGTGAAACTAAAGGATTCAAATCAGAACGTATTATCAAATTGGCCATGGACAAACTTATTAGTGGGAAGTCTTTCATTCTTTGGAAAAAAGAATTCCAAAACAAAATTAGTATTATGGAAACTTTGGCTATCTTTGGACCCTATTTATATATTGACATTATGTCACAATCTAGATATACATCTCATTTAATAACAAGCTATATGCATCTTTGTCTTGATATCTCAGAGGATCACGAATACATTATTACATTGATATCTAGTGAATCTGTACTGACAGAGGCAAGTACTTGAATAATAAATGATTCAGATGTCTGCTTCATAGAACTTATTAATTAGCTCTCTTTAGCACTTAAGAAAGATATAGTAGAGGCCGGTTATCATAAAGAGCTTACTGCTAGGTTATTGCTTCTTAAAGCCTGGAATGATTATAGTAAAAAGAAATACCTATATGGTACAGATATTGATAATAATTATTCTTGTTTTGTAACTTTAAATGAATTTTTATGATCACTACTCATAGATAAGGTTTATAACAAAATAGAGAATCACCTTGGAGAGAAAGTAATATTTACAGAAATGAAGTTTGGCAAAGCTTACATTAAGTTTACACACTTTATCAATATTACTTATATGCCAAACAGAAAAAATCTCAGGAATGTTCTAATTCGTGGTATTGCATTTTTATGTAAATGAAATTAACGAGATGTAGATATTATTATATCTATATATATAGATACTCTTTATGAATAGTTTAATAAAGATCATATTTTATACATATTAATACAAGTTAAAAATTGATCCACGCATAATAAAGATGATAACTACTTACTTTATGTAATGACTTTTCTGTTGCCAGTATATATAGGCATTGAGAAACTTTTGCATATATCATTTTTATCATTGTATTTGTAATTAGGTGCAATAACAGAATTTGTTGATATTCCAGAAGAGTTTATTAAAATATACCAAATACGTCAAGTCACTTCATGTAAATGTAAAATTAATGAAATACTAAAAGATTATAAAATAGATAATAATGAAATAAGAAAGGAATTTTTCAAGAAGATTAGAATTAATTATGAAAAGAAAGTTTTAGGTGCCAAAATTACAGTATTCCGAGAGTATTTTCAGATCTTACTTGGATTATTTGAATTATCTTCAAATATTTATAATTATTTGGGGCAGTTTATATCAGTTTCCACAATCTTATCATTGGCCATGAGTAACGATCTCACAAATAGCCTTAAGTATTTATTATCTACTTGGATCGATCTCATGATGGAAGGAAATCAAGAAAAAATGAAGATAATTAAATACATAGATCTAATAATATATAAGATGGAGAAGTAATAAGATTATTTATTATAAAATTTAATAAATATGTAATAGAATAGACAGTATATTGTTTGATAAGGAGTGTGGATCAAACAAAACAAGTGCTATAGTTCAATATTTACTATTTTTAGCATGTAATGTCATTAATATTATAGTATAGTTAATTATCAATAAAGCTGAGTCCTGGTGACTCTATTTGCATATATGATTATATTTATTTTTGCATGTATATTTCATGAATTTATTTATTGTATATCAAAAAATAAAATATATTACAGACTAGTCCTGAATATTTATATTTATTTTTTGCATATATTAATAAAAATTTTTTCTTAGCAAAAATGATCTGTATTATGAAAAGTAGCGTGCATGTTATTTTTATTAATTTGAAATTTGAATATATTCGTATTTTATAAAAATAATGGAAAATATTCACATTATTGATTCATTGTAAGAATTAAATTCTTAACTAATTACCATGATTGCTGAGCTTAGAAAGGAGAATGCCAAGTTTCCCAAACTTGAAAAGAAATTTGCTGAAATTAAATCTAAAAATATGAAGCTAAAGTAGATTATTGAGAAAAATGTAAAGTGTGATATTAGAGTCAAGAAATTAGAATAAAAGAATAAAGAGCTTGAGACTAGGCTTGCAGTAGTGAAATATAATTTTGTGATAGTAAATAAATAATCACAGAATGATTCACAGAGTGAGAATGCTGATATATCTAAGGAAGATATATTAGAGATATTATCAGAGATATCTGCTAATGATAATTCTGTAATAGATCAGCTCAAGAAATATGTATCTGTTTATAAAGTAAATGATATGATATCAGAAGTATTATCAGAGATCAACTTCAAGTTACTGGAGGAAAGAAAAATGAATAAATTCTTGAATAAGATACTTAAGAAAAGTGTTAGTATTAAAATAAGATAATACAATAAGAAAAAGAAGCTTCAACATGATTTAATACTCAGGATTTGATTACTATAAGCTTGAAAAATGATTAGAGTTATGCAATTTTAGAAAATTTGAAAAGTCTTGAGAAAATCATGATAAATTTATCATGATCAGACTATATATATATAAATATCTTTGAAGTATTAGAATTAAAGCAGAATGATAAAATTAATATAATTAATACAAGTCAAATCATAAAACAAGATCTAATTTAAGAATTGATCCACAATTAATATAAAATAACTTGTCAAAATAACTTCATATTCTTGAATAATGAAATTAATAAATCTTATATTTAGAATATGAAAAACTTAATTCCAGATTTCATAAGAAGTTTATCATATTTATTTGATAAAGTAATTAAAAAAGATCAAGAAGAAATTTTATATTGATATTATTATTTTCTTGAATTTAAAAATAGAGTTAAAAGTCTTATAACTAATAGTAATATTCAGAATAAAATAGCACAAATAAAAATATATAAGAAAATAAAATCTTTTTTATCTCATATTACAAATATTAATTTATCTAAAAAAACTTAGAAAGTTCAGAAAATTCTTAAATTATTTGGAAAAGAAAGAGTAAGTATTGCTAAAATTAGGATGATCATATATAATATAAGCAGTATTTTTGATTCAGATTCAAAATATAATAGATTATATAACTTTAAAAATCATGATAAATTTATTATAATTAATTTATATATCTTTGAAGATTTTAATCAAATTATTAACTTCTAGTTTAAATATATTAGAAATATAAGTAAGAAAACAAGGCTTGAATTTAGCTAAGATAAGTATATTAAATATATTATTTATATTTTAATCTAAGAAAATTCTATCTAAAAAATAAATTAATTATAAGAATAATAATATTATTATCTTTTTGATACAAGTTTGATATGAGGATAAATATTAATTCTAATATTATAAAAACATATGATAAAAGTGATTATATACTTATAGTAAGATTTGAAAGAGTTTTTAAAGAGTTTATTGATAAGAATATAAATGTTATTATTTCAAGATTTATCTAAAGATAGATAATAATAATATTCTTGTTATGACTAGCTAGAATATAATCCAATTTCAAAATATAATTTCAAGACAGATGTAATATTCAGTTTATTAACAAGATAAAATAATAGATCTTAATTAAAATCTATTTTTATAAGAGAGATTTCTTAAAATTTTCTTGAAATTAAAATCTACTTAAATGCAAATTGAAAATTAAACTTATAGAACTCAAACTATAACTAATTAATTAACTGATTATCTAATTATTAACTAACTATCTGTCTAAATTTACTAGCTAAAATATATCACTTTTATATATTTTAAAGATAATACAAATAATACTTTTGTTATAATACTTATACTAATTTTGCTATAATCTAAATATTGCTTTAGCTAGTATCATAATATTGATTTTATTATAATAATATTATTAATTTTGCTATAATAGTTTTACTAACTTTGCTATAATAGTTTTACTAACTTTGCTATAATAATTTTGTCATGATCATTATACTTGCAAAATCTTCTAAAAATATCTACAAATAATATTCTCTAAAGCTAATATTTAATAAGATATAAGTAATTATTCATCTAATTATATTGTAATATGAAATAATTAATAATATATAATTAATTAATATTCTACTAAAAGTTTATATTATAACAGAATCCTCTTTATTAGCATTTTATTTCACAAAATTTAAAGCTGAATATCAGATTTTTACTAAGCTTAATAGTTTTTCAAAGTTATTATTCATCATTCTTTCAAGTTTTATTAATAATAATTTTCTTAAATTCAAAATTGATTATTCTGAAATATATTGAAATAATCTACTAGTTCTATTAGCAATTTTCTGATATTATAATAATATATTTCTAGTCATAATATGGTTAAGCTTGTAATAAAGAAATAATTTTTCTCTAATTGAATCTATACTTGTTATAGCATTAATTATTTCTTGATCAGTTTAGAGTATATCAAAATCTATATTTCTATTAGAAGATATTACTATTATTATTTCTAATGTGATATTATTTAAGATAATTTTTGTTCTTGATTTTGAAGTGATAGTATCTTAACAAAGAGTTTGAATGAATAAAAAAATTAACTCTACTAAATAATTAAATAAGAATTATTTATAATAAATAATATTCTACAAATAAATATGATATAAAATAAATATAATAAATTAAAAGATAATATAATATAATTAATTTGAGTTACAAAAATTCTGGATTAATATATTTTTCAGAAAGATTATAAGAAAAGAAGTTTTTCAGACAAATAGAATTATAATGCATGCTAATTTTCATACCTAATTTCCATATTACAATATGTAATTCTATAATTTTGATTATGTCATTGCAAATTCAGGGATTGATATAATCTTGTACTGTATCAGATGATTACTCAGCCATATAATTTCTATTAGTACTCTCTATATTAATCTGATTTTTGTGTCTGTTTACTGTTCTACTATTAATTTCTTTTGTATTTTTATAATAAAACTATACTTTTTCATTATTTAATTTGATATTATTAATGGTATAGTTATTTCAGAAATTTCTCTGGATTTGAATAGATAAGAATATTATTTTTTTATTAGTATTCATTCTATATTTTCCTTTATTATTATCTGTTAAGTTTATTCTATTAAGTTTATTCTGTTATTAAATCAAGAAACATTATTTTGATTTCTAGATCTACTATATTGTTATTATTATCATGCTATTAAATTATAAGAAAAACTATTAGCTAACCATTTAGATATATTTGTGAAGCTTTTCTTTCTCAAAATTTAAAATTTCAAGAGTCAGATAGCATAAAGATCAACTATAATATAATATCATTATTTTTCTTATCATTCTTATTCCTGTTGATTATTATGATTTATGAGATACTGGCTATATCCTAATCTCAGTTATATATATCTTTATTAGTATTCTTGTTACTTTTTCTATTTATTTCTTGAACAAAAGATAAGTTATTATTTTTTTTATTATATTCTTGATCATCTGATTAGTAATTAGATTAAATAACTTCATAATCTAAACATCAATTGATTTTGATATCTTCTAGAGTTAAATTATAACTACTAGAGCTAAAGCTATATATTTTATAAAGTGATGCTAGACTTTTTGAATATTATGAGAAATAAGAAAGAAACTTCTCTTCTTTTAATTTAATATATTTT